GAGTTGATGAATGGTCATTCTATACTGGATTCTCTTAACGATTACTGACGTCTCTCTGCTTTCTTCTGCACCTTCAGGATCAACTTGCTTTCAGCAGATAGCAAAAACGAGTATTTGCTTTTTGCTGCTATTTCTCCTTCTCTTTTCCAACGCCAACTAAAGTTATACTCTCTTGCTTCTGATAGACAATATCAATGACATTCAATGTGCGTCCGTCATTTTTCGATCGTAGAATGATCGTTGGTAAAGTATTTCACATTTTGCTATTGAACATTAACCAAATCAATTGTAATCAATCTTGAGTTTCACTATTTTCCCAATCTTGCATGTTGATATTTTTTCTATAATTGACTAGAGCATTTCATTGTTCATTAGACTATGAGATCATTTAGTTCTACAATCATGGATAGACACCTACAAACAGTCTTTGGCCATTTCGTTTTTATTCAAGTCAAGATCTCGCGCCATCATTTAAGTATCTGCGCTTATCAAATGTTATATATTGCAGTTCAGGTCCGGAAATAGTTCTTTACCTAAATTGAGCCAATATGTTGTTCGACTGGATACGCGGAACGATAGGCTGCACACCAAAAAAAGCAGACCTAAATTATTTGAGCGAAGCGGAGATTGTGGCTTTGAAGAAAACCTGGGAAAGGTAAGAAACTTTTTGCTTTGACGCCATCGTAGTGGTTTCCCAAGGTATCGAATCAGTACAAAGACATGGAGCTCATGGTAAAGTAATGAGTAAGTCAGTATCATGAACGAAAAAAAAGCAAGCGTTCTCTAATCGGTCGTTTGAGGCAACAATCCTAGCGCAGTTCAGCTTCATTATTTTCAAAATTTGACTTTAACAGTAACTGAATCATCTTGTTAGTTGTGTGCTGCACGTTATTTTTCTTTTTCGGGTTCAGAGCTTTTGGACGTTTGTCGAAAAATCTTGTAAAAAGGACATATTCACTGATGTGAAAGGCTTGAAAGAAATGCGCACAATCAAGCTTATCTGTTGTTTCTCTACCTTTTCTTTAGAGCCAAGCAGAACGACATTGGTCAACATATCCTCTATGCTCTTCTTGAAGCAAAACCTCAGTTTCGATCTTATTTTGCTATCCCAGCTTATGCACTTGAAATGACGCAATTGCGGCAATGCAATCAATTTCAAATTCAGGTGCGTAATTCATTCAATTTAGAGTTTTGCTCAGAGAAATTCATCCTTTTCATTCAGGCACGCAGAATCCAGAACTTTTTGGATACGGCAGTTTCAACGCTGGGTTTTTGCCCAATGAGTAATGCCTTGACGATGGCGCATCAATTAGGAAAAATACATTTTCACAGGTAACTTTTCTTTCTAACATATTCATCTCATTCAAAATGATTTAGGGGTGTAAATTTTGGTGCTGATCACTGGTTGCTTTTCAAAAAGGTCACTGTGGAAGAGATTATTAAACATATTGGACCGAAAGAATATACCATTCTCGTTAGTGAGCGAAAACGCAGATCACTGAAAAGAGAAGAGGTATTTTCCCCATGATGGAAAACGTATGAAATTGCAGTCGAAAAGCTTTGTAGAGCCTCATGGAGATTGGACAGAATGGAGTACTGCCTGCCGTAGCTCTTGTTGCTTGGGAAAAATTTATGAGTGAAATTGTGCGAGAGATGAAAAACGGTACGTTTCGATCAAAACAGCATACTAGCACATTTGCAAAATTTTCAGGATTTCTGGAAGAAGCACGAAAACATTGTACGGGAGAAGACGACGATTCGGATTAGGCATTGTCGTACACATAGATAAAAATTAATTCCCAATTCTGACGCGCCTAAGTCTTGTAGAGGGTATACATATGTGATCATTATGTGTGGACAACCGTTATCTTTACATTCATTCTTTATGATCTTAAGTAAGAATTGAGTCGGGAATACACAACAGGAAAAAAGCCATAGAAAGCTGGCGAAATTTCCCTGCAACATAACACAGAATTTCTCCAGAAGGATAATGTTGTGAAGCAAAAACAAAAATCTGAGCGCCCGAAAAGCGTTGAGACAGGTATACTCTTTCATAATTTTAAGCAGTGACGGATGCAGATATATCAAACTTTGTGCTGATTGTTCTGGAAATTGAAAGCGTCCCAAATACCTTGTTTACAATAACGTGACAATAACGATAATAATGGCAATAACGTGAAACGACATTTGTTGGCTTATGCCGCACGAACTAGTCTCAAACTCTTACGTATACTTCTGTAAATAAAAGCCATACGTTTATTCAGAAGTAGCTAGCG